AAATTACACATAAGGTTGCTCGACGACTTGATGATACCGTGCAGCATGGAAGTTTCGCATTTCTAATGGCTCAGCAAAATTGAATGATTATCCTTTGCATTCAGTATGCCACCAATAGAGGTGCTGAAATCTAACACGGTTGATGCTATGTGCATGGAATCCTTAGGATTAAATGTGAGTTGAGGTTGATGAAGTTTTGGATGAGGGCAAAAGATATCATGTAAAGAAAAACCTCCTGTAGTTACCAACCTGTTGGGTGGCATATATTTTCAAATTTCTCACTGACGAAGGCGGTTTTGTAGGTGCGAATAGACCGGTACGATTTCTCGACACAATATTCCACGCGCTTATCGCATCTATTTGAACATCGAACTTTTGCTTTGAAGACCACTCATCGAGCAATTCTGAATTCATTGTGTAGCTTTGTTCCACTGAAAAATCCACGAATCGTTCATCACCAAACTTCTCTTTGTACATTGAAATCTGAAAATCTCCAATTGATGCAATCTATGAGCTTTGCTTCAATCTAAAACTTCTATACTCTCAGACTCTGATCAGAATGGAATATTTTTGCGAAATCCATGCAAAAGTTGCACATGTCTCTTGAGGATGCTTCAAAATCGGTTCATCATGATGAGCTGGATCTTTTTTTTCTCCCCCAAAACAATACCACCAAAATGTCATGGAACTTTGGTGCATGAATGCAACTCCTTTCATCTTGATTTGCCCTACTCATCAGCCAGAAACATGGATTAAAAACTGCATTCGACACGATTGTTGTCAACAGCTTTAGATTATTACCTTGTAGATAATTTCGCCTTTCCGCGGCGCTGGATCAATGCTCCATGTCAAATTTGTTCGTAAGTCATCTTCAAATGCGATATTGCCGCTGAAATTCAACGCATTCGTTGGTGTCACATTTGCCGATGGTACTAAAAGGGATACTCCGTTCAACACCAGATTGAAGTTCAATGAACCAAGTTTCTTATCGCAAACACCCATCTGACCAGTCTTCGTTATGAACGCAAGTTTTTCGCCAGCAACCAACAACTGACGAATCCTAAAAGTATCGTTTTTGATGCACAGTGCGATTTGTGATAAACATCAAGTATGCAGTCTTACTCATAATCATTCTTCATTGCACAGCTAATGTGCACCTAAATTGAAGCTTTCCAAAACAGTCGCTCTAATAGGTGAATCAGAATACCCTGAAAGAGTCGTGCGAAGCTTCAGAAACTGATTTGCAGATATTCAGATTTGAAGGTTCACTTAAATTTGATGTCATTGTAATAAATGTTCAATGGGAAAAAAAATTTTTTTTTGAACTGCAAGAAAGAATGTAGAACGTACGGTGGAAAGTCAGTCGATGAAGCAATCAAATACGGTGTGCGAACGTCTTGATTCAATCCAAACAAACTTTTTGTTGCGTTCGGATGCTGAATCAGAAAATATACATCACCGGTTTCATCATCTGCGGCTAAACCAGCAACCTCGCCACAGTTATCCAACGAATCACAAGAATAGATGCTGAAGTGAACAGCTCACAGATTTCTTAAATGTTCGAAGAAGGGCTCGTTCAGAGCTATTCATCACCTCCATAGATGTTACTTCTTAAGGCCATGAAATTCAATCGCTTCTCGCTGTTTGGCGAGCGAGGTTAAACAGTGTTGATTACGTTTCTGTATCTCAGCTCGCAGTAGAAACAAAGTTTCAGTGCATTTGCTGTTCAGATGATGAAAGGCTGCATAAGATCACGATTGAAACGAAATCAACTCACAGTTGATCGAAAGAAGACGTGAGTCGATAGGATAAAATCGTATAATCCGAAGCAATAACGATCACAGAATACTTTGGCATCAAAGCCAACCACTGAATGGTGCTCGTCTCTAGGAAGAGATATTTAGAGCCGTCTTTGTGCAACCGATATAAGGTATTCTGAAATTCGATGGTGCTCAATTGTGGCTGATTTCTTCACAGGACAACGAAATATTTACTGAGCACATGTCAAAATGATTCATTCACTAATAAGCACCTCATCATGTATTCCGACTACGTAGAGTGATTCGGTGGTAGGGTCTACGGCGAACGGTGATTCTGGCTGAGCTGGTAGCGCACTGCCTGAAAACAATCGTGATAGAATGAAGATGTGCTGAAAATGAATGAGCCGTACTCAAGAGATTACAGATTCATTGATTCAACGACAACCCTAGCAACAACACCAGAGATTAACGCGGATCTAGGATAGACATGTTGAGTTCAACGAGTTCATCGCAGTTACGAACATGAGATAATACATCAAGGAGACAATAATGGCGTGCAAAA